CACACACACACACCCCCACCCCGCAGCAATGCAGGAGAAAGACTGGGCTTGCTATTCCTCTAAACAGATGCAGTCTCGGGAACCCAGAGGGGCTAGCTGAGAGTCCACGTTGATTCGATGGCAGTGAGAGGTAAACTTACAGAGCCCTGGTGGCGTACTGATTATACGTTGGGCAGCTACCCACAAAGTCAGCAATACAAAGCCACCAGCCACTCTGTTGTAGAAAGAGGAGGCTTTCTATACAGCCTTGGAAACCCACAATGGCAGTTCTACCTTGCCCCGTGGAGTTTCCATGAGTCAGCATCAACTCAATGGCAGTGAGGTTTTTTGTTCTGTTTTGTTTTGTTGCTGTTTTTTTTTTAGTTTAGGGAAATGTACGCCCACACTACTTACATTACACCTTCTTGCTCAGGTTTCAACCACACGGTGAAAGTAAATGATGCCGCCAGCCTTGAAGTGGGAGGAGAGGAGAAGCAGTTCTTGTGATTCCCAAAAATAAAGCTTGCAGAGTTGCTAGGGGAGTTGGGCGGCAGATCATACTTGTCTGCAGTGCTGCAGCTCCGGAGGCCTGTGGAGAGCAGGGCGGTGTAGGTAGGGGGAGAAGATCTGAATGGACAATCTTGAATGCAAAACCTCTGGGCACAGAACCGGATACTTTCGACCTCCACCGAGCTGTGACAGAAAGTGCTCCGGTCGGGTAGTCCACACGTGGCTTGGGTTGGCACGAGTGAAACGTTCTTGAAAGCACCCACATTCTCCAGCCTTGGGAAAAGACCCTGAGAGGCAGCCAATGGTACGGGAGCCAAAGAAGCGAAGAGCAATGCTTCCATGGCCTGCAACAAGAAGCCGAAGCCCAGGGAACAAGCCAGGCGCCGCATGTTTACAAAAAAGCATTCTCCTCCTGATAAAGCATTGCTAAATAAGTAATCAGGCCCACGCCGCTCGCCAGTCACACTTTACAGCAGGGCGATTGAAGTCACACTGAGATGCTTCATTTTCTGGGAACTGCAGACACGTTTGCACACGGATGTAAGACCAGCGGCGCTCTGAGCAATGGCGAGGACATACGTAGCAGCTGGTGACTGTGAAGCAAAAACACAGTGTCATGGAAGTGATGTGACGCCTTTAAAAGGTCAGCTCACCCTAGCAATATGGACTGTAAGCCCCTGACAAAGAAACAATACAATCTCTAAATTTAGAAAGAAAACAAAATTTTTTTCAAAGCGCGTTGTTTAAAGAGCAAAGTGGGCATTCTTTTGGCAGATACCTTGAGAGGACTGAGTAACTCGAGCACCTTAAAAGTCTACAAACCAGCCGTTGGGTAAGATGCCCCACTGCAGGCGGTGATTCCTGTTTGGGCTACCCCACTCCCCAGCAATTAACTCTTGCTACTTCACTTAACAAGGTTTTCTAACGCAGAGCTAACGTGCAGGTGCCCCAAATAAAGCTGGCAAAGCGCTTTGGGCCTCCCCCCATCACTCAGCCTGGGCAGCAACTTTAAGCTGGTACCAAAGCTGATTAGGAATGTGGACCATCTGTCTGTCCTGGGCCTTCATATTTAGCAGACGTTTGTGTTAATGTTTCCTCAAATGACTGCATAGCCGTAGGTTAAATATGGCTCCTCAGACTGAGCAAGTAATTGTCCTAATAAATAAACTGAGTTACCTTTTTTTTTTTTAATTGCATGCCAATCAATCCCTTCAGCGTGGCCAGTGGATCAGCCCCGGGACGGCTGTCCCTCGTTGCCGGGCGATGCTGCTGTTCTCCTGGTCACTTTCTGAGATAGGCACCGTGGCAGGAGTGTGGGAAGGTAGACTTGGGCAAGCAAGTAAGATACTGTACACAGCAAACTCAGTTACCTGAAACCCAGAGCAAACTCCGCCAGTTGGTCCTCTTGGAAGTGAGTGTCCCAGGCTCCTGGGCTCTGACCTCAAGCAGTAGGAGGGACCTGAATGGGGTCATGCATGCATAATTTTAAAGTAGCAGTACACCTTCTCCTATAATCCCTGAGTCACCCTCCCCTCCCTATCCACACTCATGCATCTCAATCCACTTAATTCGCTCATCAAAATGCCCTGCCAGTGATACAATGAGTGATTTTCAAAGTTCTTCCTCTGGTCTGAGTTACATTGGGTACCCTTCTCCCCTAACATATTGCTAGGCAATCTGGTAGGCACAAACTGTTCAATGCTAACCCACTAGCCCCAAGGCTGTCTGTTGGAGCCCAGCCCCAGGAGGCTGGCTAGGAAGCCTGGTGAGCAGCGTGGGTAAGAACGCCCGGGGAGCAGGTCTGCGGTGCGCACCTGGGGAAGCCCTGAGCAGGGCTCCGCTGGAGGACAACCAATAACAACAACCCATCACCATCCTGCCATCCTGCCATCCTGCCATCCTGCCATCCTGCCAGCGTGGACTGTTGATGGATGTTTCCACAGAGCAGTCATTACTGACTCCTCACTCCAGGATCGCTCGCCGACTCCACTGACGGAGTAGAATCACAACAAAATCCCTTGCCATTAAGTTCAGCTAGCCCATTGGGCAGTGTTTCTCCACCTTCCTAACGCCAGGACCCTTTCATGCAGCTCCTGTGGTGGGGACCCCCAACCTAGCAGTATTTTCGTTCCTACTTCATCACTGTCATGTTGCTACTGTGATGAATTGTCATGTAAATACCTGATAGGCAGGAGGTATTTTCATTGTTACAAATTGAACATCATTAAAGCAGAGTGATTCGTCACAAAAATAATATGTAATTATACATTGTGAAATACTTATTTCTAATTTCAAAAAATGAAATATTGTCTTGAAGCATGGTGTAGCATGGGTAGCAGTCTTCACACTAGGTACTCATATGTGGGCATAGCTGCATGTGGGCAGACCCACCTGCAGACGTATAGAGGAGCGGTGTCTCGATTTCTAAGGCCATTGGAAATATGTGTTTTCCGATGGTCTTGGGCGATGCCTGTGAAAGGATCATTTGACCCCTAAAGGGGTCGCGACCCACAGGTTGAGAACCACTGTTGTAAGCCAGCATAGAGCTACCTCATAAGATTTCCAAGGCAGTAGAAAGCAACTACTGCATCTTTCGCTCACAGAGTGGGTGTGGGTTCAAACCGCTTCCTTTTTGTTACCAGGAGAGTGCTTTACCCCTGTGCCACCTTTCTAACCCCAGCATGCTGTCTCCTAAATAAGCATGTTTATTTATATTATATGGAACATCTGATAACACCTCTAAACATTGGGTTTAAAAGACCAGGGGTTTTAATTTAGCTACAGAACCCAGGGTCTGTGCTGAATTTTCAGGTACCTAATTGAATGAGTATGTGATAGTTATGTGCACGTGTTTGCAGTCAATTTGATGTGACCTCTATTACATCTAATGCTCTTTTTCCCCCTCCTAGCTATAATATCTCATCCCAGATGAGGCATATTGTAAACAAGATATATTTCTAGCCTTCTATTTCTACCTTAAGAGGAAAAACTTGTTTGGGAAACAACTGGTTGATAATGCTTTTGTTATCTCTAAGTTACCACATCAATAGAAGAGTGGTTTTGTGGTGGTTCTAATTAGTAAATTAGTCAGAAACCAACCATATCTCCTCTCAGGTTCTCTTTCATTTCTCTTCCCTGAGAGACGCAGAAACCACTACCTCTTTAAATGTCTGTAGGTACAACAGCTTCGTCCATTGTTATTAGATGCTTCAAGAACAAATTCTTTTCTCCTATTAACATTTTATCAAAATCTTCTATTCTCTACATTTTGAGTATTACTTTTTTACAAAGATGGCCTTTTGGGTTGGTTTGGTTTTTAATTAAAAATTAACTTTGTAAAGGGAAGCTGATGTCAAGGAGTTCAAAAAGGAAGAGAAGGTTCTAAAACAGATCTGAAAACAATCGTACAGTACTTCTCTGTGCATGAACTACGGAATGAAGTGGTATCTGTATAAGCTACCAATAAAATGGTTTTGGAAATAAATATTGATGTAAACCAGTTAATGCAAAAGGACAGCCAAAAGTGTGGGAGAGCATTATGCATGAATCACAGTGAATTTGACAAATAAGTTATTCAAACCAGCTACAGAAGATGTAATCAACCTATTTTCAAAGAAGTTAACAGTGACTGTGTGCCTTTACACCTCATGAATATAGCACAAACCTTAATGTAAAATTGTGTGTATGTCTCAACATTCAGGGATAAGGAATCATCTACCACATTCCAGCTCCTGCTTTGTAGTGGGAAGTCATGACTCAAAATAGACAATCTAAGATTAGTGACTGGCTCCACATTTAGAAACTCTGCCTCTAATTTGCAAAGGCAGACAATGGATTGGCATGTCCCTCAACGTTTGCAATTCAGTCCTATCCGTCCTGAAGGCACATCCGGTAAGTGAATTGGGCGCCAGCATTTCTGCTGGTCCTGAAGTGCCTGGAAAACACATCTGGGGCTAGAGGTTGAGGAAGAAAACTGAAACGTGCAAGGATAAATTTTAGAGCCGTGTGCTATTATTGTCTGTAATGTACATATAAGTTAGCAATTGCATAAGACACCAGCCCAAAACAACAAACATTTTGTTATCTCTTAAACCAAGTTTAAAAATACAAGTATTGTTACAAAGGTTTCATTTCATGCATATATGGTTTTATTCTGAACGAAAGGTGTTTAGACATGTTTTTTCCATGAATAAATGACTGCATGACAAGTTCTCTCTTAGTCTCATTAGCGGGATTTCAAGAAAAGACCCATATCAATCAAAAGTGTGGCTTACACGGAGATCTGCTGGGCCAGTTAAACTCAAGGCATACAGGTCAGTTCCATAGGTTATTGCAAAAACTCTTTTTAATTTCTAAGAAATAATCTTGATAGAATTACTTGAAGGACACAGGGGTCTTATGAAGAAGATGTATTAAGAACGTCGAGAGCTGTGTTTGTAAGAAAAAACACAATTTTCTCCCCAACCCCGCTCCTCACCCCTACCATGGCAATGCCCAGGTCATTATTCAGGGTGGTGTTATTGGAGGAGGATCAAGGTGCAAGCCTCTCCTTTCTCCGTGAAACACCAATGGTCCCAGTTAATCTGAGAGCATTGTAAAATTGAGACTCAGGTTTGTATCCCACTAATAGCAGACCTTTCACCCATGGCTGGCTTTCCAGATGGTCTTTTGCTACTGTTCTGGCGCTCTGTAATATGTCTCCACTTTTTAGATATGTGCACCCCTGCACCCCAGAGTTCATGTGTGTCCTTGTCACAGAGACCTCAGACCAACTGTTAGTTCAACCATTTGGATGGTGGAGGGGGAAGCGGGGAGTAGTGTGAATGTACTATCTCCATCTCTTCCATTGATTAGAAAACGTATTTTATCTGCTCGTCATCTTCTTTTGATGTTTGAAATTCCTCCCATTAACAACCATTTCCCCTTGCCTGGTTCTGTTTGTACTACCATAATTTTATAGACAAACCTTAACTCATTTACCTGAGCTCACTTCAATGGCACCAGAAGTATTTTTAACAAGAAAAAAATAGGAGGCTTTGTCAAGTACATCCAAATGAAAGAAGCACACCAGCCTGTGTGATCCAAAAATGATGATAACAAAATCCTAATATGATGAAGAGAAAAATATCCGTGCTTAGACTGTGAACACCCAGTTTATAGAAGCCTATGGAGGACAGTGGGAACCCAAAATCCACCTGCAGAATACCTAATCAGAGAAGGCTGTGGCAGAGGTCCTCTAGTCTCAGGGAAGGGAGGGACTCAAACAGCTTTACTATCAGACAGAGATGATTATAAACACGATTTTGGTCGATTGAATGATGGTATAATGTGATACGTGGTCAACTGACCTCTCTCTTAACCCAACCTGAATTTGTTCTAGGTGCAAATA